GTGGTTAAATCTTGCTACCTTGCATTCCTGGTTGCCTGGGGAACTTTGGCCTAAAAAATGGAGGTGGGCAAATGTAGAAAGGAGTCACTACTGGTTCAATTTCCCAAATTGAAACTCTACCGGGGCGTTCACCTGCTGTTGATTCATCCCATCCAACCTATCAATGATTCAAATGATGACTCTCAAATAAGCCAATAAAGAGGTTCAGTATTACTACAATAAGGCACATACTATTACCATGAGGGACAGCAACGTAGAGCCAAGCATATCTATAAACCATAATGAATGCTATAATGCACTCAAAACTAAGGAAACAAAGAGAAAAAAAAAAATTTCTCAAACAATAAGTCCCAGGAATATATTCAAACCAATTCTACAAATAAAAAATATTTATAAACTTGTCTACAATCATATCAAGTTATCCAAATAACGCATCTATTTCTTCGTAAAAATCCAATGTTTTAATAATACCTGAATATTGCGCCACTGTGAGTTCTTCCATCGGACAGGATCCAAGTCACTAATCCCAGTGATTGTACCCATATATCTACGTACTCCAGACTCCTCAGTTTCAAACATCATTCTAAATCTCATTCCAAGAGAGACTTGAGTGAACATGGCTTTGTTATACTTGGCCAATGGAACAACAAATTCAGAGGGGCTAGCTCTGTCAAATTCAAAGGGGTATTGTTCAATGGATGCGATGCCATGCCATGTCATGATAATAAACACATGTCAAATAGTACCTTGGGTTGTAAAATATAGTAAATGGGCTGTTATTTGCAGCAGCATGAGCTGCAGCAGCAAGAATGCCAATATGCATGCTGTCACTAGATATCACTGATGAAGAGAGTGCTGGTTGCTGTCTATTAGCACGCCTTATCCCTAAAAGAAGATGCTGCTTTTCATCTCTAAAAATAAACAAAACACAGTTTTGCTCAGCAACAAGGGGCCAACATAATCCAGAAATTTTCACATGCAAAATACAATGTATCTTACCTGATAAAAAGAACTGCATCTCCGGCAAACAGTCTCTTTGTGCTGACAAATACACTCCAACCAGTAGTCAATAAATGCCTCTTTGGTTGTCCTGTAGGTGATGTGCAACCAAGTTTAGCAATTAACATTCAAACTCTTTAAAAATCAATTACACAGTTTCTATGTTCACAACTTTGTCAAGACCACATACATATATATAAGAGGAGTCTACAAGTTTTTTATTTTAAAAGATGATATGTCTAAGGAGATAATATATGCCTTAGAGGTTTAGATTAGATAGCACTAGGTTTCAATGGTGACATATACCATACTAAGGACAATATATTAAAGAAAGATGGCAATGAATAAAGAATATGTTAAAGCAGCCATACCCCTATAAATATGTCTAAATGCCCATGTATTGTCGTGCAAATCCTTGGCCACAAGCTCCTGTGCGGGAGGTTGCATTGAATAATCCTATCAAACAAACACACTTATGGTCAGCAGGCAAACCTCTAGTGATTCTAGCTCTAGATACAAAGAATAAAAAGAAAATGAAAATGTTAAGCACATACCAAAGGTGGGAATATTTTCTCAGCTGCTCTACGAGGCACAGAAAATCCACCATGAGTGCTTGTGTCACTAGCTGTAAGAGTTTTGCAAAAGAACTCAGTAGGTTGACGGCTTTGTTTGAGGCCCATATCTGATGCCAGTATTGCTTCTTTCTCATACTGTAAGAGCCAAATCAAACAATCTTTGATGTAGTTTACACACCATTTGCTCGAGAGGGCCTTAAACAAAAGGTGGGAAATAAATCCCACATGCAATAAACAAATTCTCAGATTGAACAGCTAACATACTTTGTTTACAGGTTGAAGGGTCATCTGCGCATACACCTCATCGGTTTCTGGATCAGCCTGTTCCCCAAAAATACACAATAATATCATATCATTGTATTAAATCATAGAGAAGTTAACATTGTATCAAATGCAGAACAGCAATGCCACATGTGGAAGACAACACTTAGATACAATACCATATGTCCCTAAAACGTTATTCTTCAATCAAAATTTGAGTTTTACTTAGGTAATATGCATAGACATTTAATTGAATCTTGATTACATATTACCAAGGCAAAACTCTAATTCTAAGTAGATAACAATACTAACAGACACCTATGATACTGCATGTAAATTTTATCCCAAGTTGGAAGTGCACTTACATGCAAAGCAACATTGTGAAGCATGCAAATCAACTGGGAAGGAAGATTAGGGTAACTGGGAATGAAGTCAGTCTCCTTTTGCATGGAAGCTGCAACCTGAAAGTTATAGTAATCAAAAGGAACTTACATCATCATTCAAAATACAGAAATATCACGCTCATAGAATCATGGCAATTGTCACATGAAACATACTTGCTCACTGTGTCCTTGGGGGAAGTAAACCACAAGACTTCCGACAGGAGGCAAAGAAACCAAAGGTCCAGCACAAGCATGCCATAACTCTGAATTGATTGACTTCCTTTCACCTGTAAAGAAAACAAACATACTGTTAGTCCTTTGAACAGAAACATTACTCTTAATTTATTTTATTTTAAATGCTTTTTAAGCTGTTTGATGAACATGGATGATTTTATATTACATCTCTAACAGTCTCCTCAAGCATACTATTGAAGAACAGATGCATAACTTCATAAAAGAAACTAAAATTCTTTAATGATTGATACTTCTCAGGGGCAGTAGCTTAATCACATATTTGCAATTTGCCAAAGAGGCATTTTTATTGCAAAAAGCAAAGGAACAGATCTTGCATATTCCTCTTGTATTGATATCAGTAGACCCATTACCCATAAAGAATATACTGAGAAGGTAATTAAATAGGTGAAAACCTTTCCTCTTTTAAATATTTTATTACATAGGAATCATATTCTCTCTGAAGACTATCACGCAAACATATTCATCATTTCCCTTCTTGCCTGAAACTTCATAAGCAACATTTGACCCTTTTTCAACATATGCCATATTATTACCACACACCCTATCACAAACCAAACAACTCTAGAAAGTTCAAGTAAAATATCATCAACTACACAGCAAGATGAAAAACAGATATCTCTTCATCATTTTTCAGGCAAAAATGCCAATTATTGCATATCTAAGAAAAACATTTGATAGCCACCCAATTTTGGGACTCAAACATGTCAAATGCCCAAATTTATTCCATCTAAAATGCTATTAGATTAATTTAACAACACAAAAGCAGCACTTTCCTTGAAAACATCTTCGGTGTCACCGAGAAGGGTTATGTTTGATGAAATAGAAACAAACAAACACAGAGAGAGAGGGAGACAGAAAACTTTGAGAAAAACCCACCTTCGCCAGAATTAGGCAAGTAACCATTGGATGGAGCCTTCATTACGACCTATAGAAAAACAATGACCCCTAACAAATTCACCACATAGCCTTTACTGACAGAGAGACTTGCCCTTGTTCCACAGGTTTTTCATAACAAGATAATCCTAACTTCAATTCATCCAGCACTGCCCCAGAAAACGAACACAAAACTGTCCACTAATATGGAATATGATCAACAAAAAACCGACCCTTCCCCTCAAATGCAACCAATTGCTAACTCAACTTCCACACAGCACATGCACTCCAAATTCAACAACTTAACATTCGAGGATTCAAGCCACTCAGCACAAACACCATGTCAGTGCCAAATTTCAAACAAATAGGACTAAATCCCAGCAATGGAACCCTTCTTGCTGCACAAATCAAAACGCCAAAACCAACACTCTCTCAGCTGAAGATGTCCAAGAAGCCAAAATCTGTGCAGCAGAAGAACCATCTCAATAACACCAACAAAGAAGAACAAAACAAATTAAAAAGGCTACTTTGAAAAGCAAAACAAAAAGGGAAACAAACTGATGAAAGCCCAGATAAGATATATCCAAGTATGACGTAAAGAATCACCATATTGATGAGAGTGGAGTAAAGAACATAGAGAAGAAGTGACCAAAATGGAAAAGCATGAAATGGGTATGCACTGTTGTTTCTGGGGATTGAGGTGGCACAACAGGTGAGATCAGAGTAGCAAGAGAGAGAGAGAAACTGGCTTGTCCTCGAGAAAACAGAGACCGAACAAAAGCAAGACAGCTTTATTTCTGTGTATGTGAACTGAACAAGCCGACATCAAATATAGACCAACCCAGTCAATCACAGACAGACATGGTTAAACAACTAAGCCTTTGCAATAAACACAAAACAAAACACACCTATTAACGTTCCTCAATATACATACATCCTTACAAACTCATGTTTATTTTATTTTACTTTTAACTAAAAAATTTGGAACGGAAGTCATCCCAATACTACTAAGAAGGCCAATAATGGCATATTGTGATTGCCCACAAATACTCCCTCAAAATGTTACTGCACACACTGTGTTTGAAAATATTGATATTAACGTCGGAAAATTCTATGTAAGATGGGAAAATTTGTTTTTTTATTTTATTTTATTTTAAACTTTACTACTTTAAAATGACAGTATCAAACATTAAATTTGAAATCATATTGTATATACTATCTTAATTTCTCATTACAAAACTAACGCTAATAGTTCAAATATGCTATGTATTGACATATTACGATGTGATATTACATTATCATTCAATTATAATTCTATATGTCTGTAACAATTTATTAATTTTTATAATAATTATTTTTAAAATTATATTAAAATTTATTTTAATTAGTTGACGTTTAAAATTTTTAACACAAAAAATACGTGACAACTAAACTCATAAATACAACATTCAAAACATAAAATCAAACTCTTTAATACTCTAATAGTATTAGAGACTTTATTCAAATTGTTACTACATAAGTCTAAATACGTAGTAATCAGTAAGATATATATATATATATATTTTGTAAGAAAGTATTTTCAACTAGTAACATCAAAAGAATCAAACCTGTACTTATAAAATAAAATAAAAAATAAGTTCAGATCTTCGACTATGTCAATTCACATTTGTCTGTTTATTAATGTTTTACTTTTTACACGATATTATTATTCCTCGTGATTATAAAAGTTGGGCCCAATATTCACTTGAGAGTTCAGATTCCACCGAAATTTCGCATTTGTGTGGTGCCTTTTTCTTTTTATGGTACAAGTAAATTGAGAGGATAAATGTTTGCATAAAATTTATTATTATTTATGGTGGGAGGGTGAATTGTGTAAAGCGACTGAAAAAGTAGGCTCCATGTGACTGTGAGGAAGAGGATTATTTGGAAATTTGGATTCAAGAATAATTAACCTTTTCTGCTAAAATTGTCTAGAGATCTGGTACGTGAACTTAAATAGATTATTAAGGTTTTGAATTTTTTAATTATGGTAGGTGACATGGCTCTCCACTTGATCTTTGAACTGTGTCTAGATTATTTGGGTCGTAAATTCTTCGTTATTTTATAGATTTTTTTAGTATTACTGTATCACCTCTTTTTGAGATTTTTCGTGAATGCTTGGACCCACGAGACTGTAAAAGCCATTTACGAAATAGTTAATTATTTATATATACAGTTAGCGTAAAAAAATTTTACATTACCAATTAATCAGTCATTAATAATATCTTTTTATTTATTTATTTAATTAAATTAAAATAAAAAATTATTATTAACGATTTTAATTGATTGTCAAAAAAAATTTTATACCGATAATATATAAGTGATTAATTCTTTATCAAACCTTTTGACTACCAAAAACAATGATATTTACTTCTATAATTCATGGAAACCTTTGTTGTTTCTTCTTATTATTTGTGGTTTGTTGATATTTTGCAAGTCAATTGTTTTGTGTTTGGTACGGCAGATAAGGTATATAATTAGTGCAGGATTTATTTTAACTGTCAGAAATTTTGGTAAAAAATCGTAAGAATTAAGTGAATGCAGAAAATTTAGGAGAGAGAGAGGACTGTCTTGAGGGGCACAGATCGTTAGTTTTCTTTTTTATTATTCCTTTTACTATCTCACACAGTAATTTTAACATTTAAAATGTATTTCAAAATAACATGTGTTTCCACTCTTTAATTTTATATTTGTTACTTTTATATCATTTCATAAATTATTTGACCATCATAATTAAAATAATATATTTATTAAAATAGTAAAACAATTTTAGTAAAATTATATAAAATAAATTCTACATTAATTTTTATTATTAATTTGTATGTAAAAACATTGAACTACAATTTATAGCTCTTTGTGGGCCGGAGAGTATTATTATTTGTTCAGAAATCAAAATTTTAAGTACAAAATTCAAAACATAATCGATAAATTATTAATATAATGATAATATTCTTGTAAAATATATGAAATGTTTCACTATTATTATTAATATAATATATATTTAATTTAGTTCTTAAAAGATATATAGTAAAGATGACTAATAAATCTTTGAAAGATTTTTTGTGAGATTTTTATTATATAAGTTTATTTTTTCATTGTACTCAATTACTAATTTTGTTAGTTTTATCATTAAATAATGGTTAATTAATGTTGGCATGTCCTAATTAAAAATTAATTAGATTTAGACACATGATAAAATAAAATTTAATCTTTAATTTAGTTTAAAAAATAATTGAAATGACGTTTGAATGATTTATTTTTTCTAACTTATTTTTATTTTCGTATTTCATTTCACCTACGAAACTGATATGTGTGAAATGTGAAACTCATTTATAGGATAAGGGTTTGAGATATTATTGAAACCCTCAAGTTATTGAAAAATCCTCAGGCTTCAAGTTTTTTGTGAAATCCTCGGTAAAGTCTTGTTTCCATAGTAATAGAAATGACCATTGTAATATCCTAATTTTTGTAACTATTTATGTATATAATTTTTATAAATTATTGTATGTTTTACTGTGATAAATATGTATTAAATATTATGTAAGTTATGAGAATAAAATTTATGTAGTATTATCTAGTAAGATTTTCTGAATTCAATGATATATATTTCATTGTCTAAATTGACTATTTTTTTAGAAAGCATTGTAATCACACTATAAAATGTGAAAAACTTGATTTAAGAAAATTTGAGTAATATATAACCTAAATGATAAATTATTGAGAATAACTTAAGAATAAATACAGTTAAGAGAAAAAATCTCTAAATTCAAATTTATAAGAATTCACTAAGGATTTAACTTGACAAAATTATTTGGCTAAAATGTTAAAGCTTAAAAATTATGGAAAAATGTTCAATGGGATCTAAAGAATTTTATCATCAATATAGTATGCTTAGAATAGTTAATAAAAATGTTCAGCTAGGTTAAACTAAAATACAAGTCTATCCAATCAAATTATGACACATAAGTAAATTCTAATTAATTTTAATTAGCATAATTAAAAGATGATCTAGAGACCAAATTTTCTGTTTTTAATAATTTTACAATGTTCTAGAAAGTTCTACTAATAATTCTACAATGTTCTATAAAATTCTACAAAACTCTCCAAAGTAGATACCTAGTCACCAAATGATTAAATGGATTGGAAGCTTAACTATTGAGATACTTAAATCACTCTAGAATTTTCTATAAAATTCTATAAATTAAAATGCAAATCTATAATGAATTTAAATCTTAACCATTAAGATATTTTAATAATACTACAAAATTCCAGGACGTTCTATAAAATTTTACAAAAAAAAAATCTAATCACCATGTGATTAAAATGAATTGAAAGCTCAATCATTAAGATAACTAAATAACTCTACAAAATTCTAGAAAGTGGACACCTCATCATCATAGGATCAAATAAATTGGAAGCTTAACTATTAATATACTTAAATAATCTAAAGAAATCCTAGAAAGTCCTATAAATATCTACAACATGGACACCTAATCATCATGTGATTAAAATATCTTAGGAAATAACAAGAAATATCTAAAAATCTATAAAATTTGAAAATGGATGTGGAGACTAGTGTAAATAGGAGAAATCACACCAAAAAGGTAAAAAATAACCCTTAACAACAAGACATAAACCAAGCCAAAGAAACACAAAAAAATACTCCATCTTTTTCACAACCAAGGAGTAAACAACTATAATATTAAGAAGAGAGAAAGAAAGGGAGAAGATAGGAGGGAGACAAACAAGTAGGAAATGAAGAAATCAAGGAAATTAGGAGAAAACTAGCAAGCTTGAAAAATAGGTATGGGTTAGATATTTAATTTTATTCATGTCTATATTATTGTAGAATAAGTCTTGATCATTACATATAAGTTTGAATGCATGGAGCCTTAGGTTAAATGACATGGTTTTTTATTGTACTTATTGATAAATTTGATGTTTTAAAGTTGAATCTTGAAGTGGTTGATTATTTATGATTACATGTTACTATTAAAATTATTTGAATTGTATTTGAAAAGTTTGATTGAGAATATTTTTAAAATAATAGATTAATAGTGATGTATGTTGCACAATGTGACTTTTGAGTCAAAATATTTTTGGGGAAAAAGAAAAGAATTTTTAAAAAAATATATTTGAGAAATGACTTTTATATCAAGGATAATTGATAAAAAAAAATGAGTTTTAAAATTTTGAATTGATGTTTTTATGTAAATTATTTTCTTTTATTTACTATCTAAGACATTAGTGACAAGAAATTGATTGTGACATTGGATACTATCAAGGACAGATGGCAGTACGAGAAGGATAAAAAAAATATAGAGTAAGAGAGAGCTTGATATGATAATTAAAAAAAATAATAGAATTTCTCATTTTCTTTACTCAATTTTTTAGTTTTATTATAATTAATAATATGATTATATATATATACATATATATATATATGTGTGTGTGTGTGTGTGTGTGTGAGAGAGAGAGACAGAGAGTATATATAAAAAAAAAATAGAAAAGTTTGGGGGAACTGTCGATCCCCTTGTTATAACCAAGGTCCACAACTAGCTACCAATGTCATAAGATAGTAAATGGAGTTTGAGTAGAGTGGGTAAGATGAGACTGCTAGTTTGGGGGAATAGACCATTGGTCTAGGGAATGTTTGGGCGTGGTCAATCCCATAGATGGTCAATCTTTATTTGATTTTGTGTCGTGGTAGCCTATCGGGTTCACTGACACTCTAACTACTTTCTACTTATTCGCGTTTAGTGGGGCATTGCCGAATCACTAAATAGAGTGGTGTTAAGCTTTAGCTTCACTAAACACTCAAAAGGGAAAATCTCTATAGAGTATTGAGTTAAAATAATTTTTGAAAAGTATATTTTGAGTCAAAATA